TTAGGATTAGGGGACTGCACCACAAGTTTCAGAGGAGGAAGATCCTCTGCTCCCCCTTTCCAAAACCGGATCTATCACATGCCGCTAAGAGAACAGGACTTTTTTTTAAAATAAAGTTATTTCTAACTAAAACTGTCATGTGCTTTCTAGGGATAGAAATGCCATTTTTTTTATGTCCCAAGAGATTAACTTCCAGCTCCAGAGAAGTAAAACCAACTGTCTCCTCATCTGGCTGGAAATGAGGTATTTACATAGGGGACATGAGGAGTGCCTCGATCATTTTTCCAGCACAGTGGCCACGTGACACATTTTGCGTTTTCTCTGATGCTCTTCCACTTCCAAGTCCCGTCTGAAGGATTCAAAAGCCCATCTCCGTAGAAGGGGAATACCTGAATTCCTCATGCCTATTCTCAGGTCCTGCCAACTGGAATAATTTAAACCACAGATTTCTACTCATTATGTTCAAAACGCCAACATTTATGTTAAGGAAATTTTATTGGCTTTGGAAAAAAAAAAAAAAGCCAGAGAAGGATTTGAGTGCAGAGATGCTGACCTCAGAAATACAGACAGACCAATCAAGCAACATTATGATAAAGTGTTTATTCATTTTTTAAATATCAAATTTTTTTTTTTACACATCAATTTTGTTGATAAACAGTCCCCCAATATTAAAAAAAAAAAATCAAAAAAAGAATCAAGTGTGTATTACTTTGGGCAGAACCACATCCCATTCTCTGATGACACAACCGCTCCTCCCTTCACCACCCTCAAGGACAACCGCAGCGCGTTCAGCCCAGAAGAGTAAATGACACAAATGCAACCAGCTTTAGGATTCCTGAGTATTGATTCCCTCAAGTTCCTTTAAGTGAGTTTGTAAAACTCTTTCAGCTAAAAAGCATCAGTCAAAGAGTAAACCAAACTGCTACGCATCTGGATCACGGACTACTACGTCTACACAGTGCAGGAAGAAATCTTTTGAACGCTTCGGAAAGGAATGACGTACACGAATCCGGCCCCTTTTTCCAAGCTGATTTCCAGGAGAGGCAGGCAAAATACCTCTTGATTTCTCCTCTTTGAATTCACGGTAGAGTTCTGGGGAGCTGTTTGGCAAGAAGTCTAAGTCTGGTGAAGAAACCTCTAGGATCTGTTCCTCCTTTTCTTTATAAATGGCATAGTGTTCTAAAGAAAACTTATCTGGAAGTTGAGCATTCGGCAAGTACACTTAAATATTGCTGCTTTTGAGGAGAGGAGACAGCAAGAGGGAGAGACAAAGACAGAAAGAAGGGAACATCTCTAGGAGGTACGAGGTTAACAGTCCTGGAGACCACGTGTCTACGCAGAAAGCTGACCACACGTAGCAAGAAGGCAGATTGTCACGATACCGCAGCGTAGCTCAGCCCTGTCCAGTAGCAGGTAAACGTGCCAGGGACCGCCATCAGGAAACAATTTCCTCCTCTTGTCAGAATTATCTGCGCCCAGGAGCTTTCAGATGTCAACATTTCACTAAACATCACCTCTAAACTCACCTAGAGCCCCAGGGGCAAAAATCTGCATTCAGCAAGAGGCCAAGTAAATTCCTTCAGTATCTTTAAGGAAAATAATACATCTCAGGAACCCACAGCAAGGTACATGACCAGAGCGGCTTCAGGACACACCCAGACACGAGCTCTACAGACCCACAAGGGTCTCCACAGGCATTTCCATCTTTATGAAGCAGCTTCTGAGTGTTGTTTTATTCTCTATAGATGGACTTTTAATCCTGAAATGATTTTGCTAAGCTTATGCGACATCAGTACGTTGGAGCAGTGATGAATGAGGAGGGGAAGAGCAGAGAGTGAAGAGCTTCATTTTAGGCCAGGGTACATGGCTCCTTGGAAACCTGAACAGCTTTTGGCCTTACCTTTACCCCTGACTCTAATCAAGAAGCTGTAGCAAGTCTGCCATCCCTGTGTAAATAGAAGGATTCCCACTTTGTGGGCCAGGTAAGGGCAGAGACCGGTTAAAGGATTGCTAAAACTGAGCAAAGGATGTGTGCATACAGCAGAGGACACACGAGCATGTTAAAACAGAAGACAGCTTTTAGATAGCGTTCGCTAAATACAAGTCCTATTACGTCTTATTTTAACCTTAAATACTCACCGCTGCCCAGATTTTCTCCAAAATAAATCTTGCCCCTAAAAAAATTATCCTCTAATGTAGCAGCACGTAGCCATTCACTCAAATTAAGAGATTAAAATCACCAGGCTTGGACCAACTTGCTAAAATAGTTTTACAAGTATTCATCAGTTGGGGGTCAGGCTTTGCTTGTCGCAGTTCAGACAAAGTCACCCAGGAAATTCTAGCACTCTCGATAAACACTTCAGCACAGCTTTGGCAGAAGGGTAGATTTCAAAAATTATATCTGACAGAATAAAACTGAGCGTTGAAGCAAGTTGGCTGATGCTCTAAAGCTTTCCTAGCATAAATTCTGTATATGCAGTCTAAATAAACGTGGCCATACAACTGGAGCCTTTAACCAGTTTGGTGCGAAGCAGCAGCACTTCATTTAGCTCTTAGCAATCGCTTCTAAAAACATAAAGTGTAAATACGAAAAGGGTATAACATGGAATGGCTAACGTCTGACGCTTCAAGAAGCTGGCAGCAGATGAACCTGCAGGCTGAGGGCGCAAATTCAGCTCTCGCACGTCCAAGAGGGCCAACTGCAGCTGGTATCCGTGTACCAGACGGGGGCTCGCTCCCAGGACCACCTCACTGGGACCCGCGGCGTGAATCGGGAGCAGATTCGGCTGCTTTAGACTGAGGATGCTGTGGGGCTGAGAGCTGGGAGCTTTGTTCTTGTTGCTGCTTTTGACAGAGAACCAGCTGCAGAGGGGAATGGGTCTAGTATTTCTTAAGGAGAGAGATCTGATGACTGTCCTCCTGTACCAGCCCAGGCGTCATCCTTTACAGAGAGGGCTTTTGCGGATTTGAGGTGCTCATTGCAAGGAGAATGCTTAAAAAACTTCAGCAGAGGTAACTCTGACCACCTGAACGGTAAATAAAGATCATAAGCCTGGAGTCTTGCCTCGGTAACTCATCCTGAACAAAGCTTCAAGTGAGTTATTCGATGCTGCTCCGGCAAGGGCTCCCCAAACAGCCAAGTGCTGCTTCCTACACATGCATGGAGCAACGCATCACAAGTCGTGGGAGATGAGCCCCAGGCCGAGCTGGTACGTTCAAAGCTCCGTTCCACAGACAGAGGAATGCCTTCAAGCTCTCTTTTGTTCTAAAGGATCTTCTGGCTGCCCAAGCATCTAAGAAAAAACCTGACAACCATCGCTCACTGACATCAGAAACTCCTGCAAGTTCACAGATCGAACCAAATTTGTGTTGGTTTTCAATGCCACCCTGCACAAAAAAAAAAAAGCCTAGCGTACACGTAGGCAAATCTGCTAAGCAACAGGGAAAATGAAACACCAGGAACACAGGCCTGAGACAATGATAATGACAAATGAAAGCCGTGAACAAAACATGTTTCCAGCCGCTGCTGAGCCATCACTTCAGGTTTAGCTCAAAACAGAAAGTTCAAGATGAACACTTGACACAAAGCCACTTTGACATTTGCTAGTGGGCCTGTGTCAAAGTTCCTACTTAAAATTTGGTATCATGTTTTAGCCATGCTTTCCTTCCCCTTCCCCAGCCCCAACAGTGTTTTTGGGGCTCTACAGAGCATGAAAAAATTCATCCACCCCCCAAAAAAAATGCATCTGGAAAGGGCTTCCTACAGCACAGCCTCGGCGAGTCCTCAACACGCAGGTTCCTCCCCAGGGGCTGCCCCAAAGGCCACGGTGGTTGTAACGCAGAAGCCACGTCAGTGCATTTGTTTCAGAAACCCTTTTTGGGGAGCCCGCGCTCTTCAAGAGGTATTTTAGTACCCCACCAGCCGCTACATGCTTCCACAGTTTGCATTTCCACAGCCGAGAGGCTGATCATCCCCAAATATTGTGATAAACTAGTGCAAAGCAGATTTTCTTTATTCTTCTGATCACATCCCCGCTCAGTGCACAGAGAATGCGGCCGCCGGAACAGCTTGTTCTTCCAGGGGCAAAGGAGGTTGAAGAGCCATCACACACATGGTTGGTTTGTTAAATAATTTCATCGTTAAGGTTTTGCCTTTAAGTGGTTGAGTTTGTTCTTTGTAAGGGGGCAACATGATGTGGGAAAGCTAGGAAAAAAAAATGTAAAACACTCCTTCTCCCTCCCCCTCCCCACTACAATTAATACCAGCACATCTTCAAATAAGTTAAAACATCTCTAAGTTTTGGTAGCACCAAATTCTATCCCTTCCCTTCTTCTATCCCCACGTTGTAAACTTGAACACACTGGCCCAAGAGCATAAAAGGGTTTGGCAAAAACAGGCAGCAGCCTTCCCTGTGCGCACCCAAAAACACAGGCTTCCAAACCCCCCCTCCACCCCTCGCTCCTCTTGCAAAATGTTACACGTCTGTGGGCACCTACATACCTTTAGTAGCTGCCGTAATAGTTTCATCAGTGTCACAGCTGGACACGGGGTTACAAAGCGCAGGAGACCTAAAACCAGGACCAATCCACAAAGTCTGTCTGGACGAGCGCTGTTTCGTGTCTGTGCCAGACCGAGCTTGGCGTGTGCCTCCTGTCCCATGCACACACGGTCAATTCACTTCACAACCTGCTTTGCGCTGGACAGGGCGGTGATCTGAATGGCTTCTGCTTTTTATTCGTAACATTGGAGCTTATTCTAAAATTGTACATTTAAATAAAAACATGAATTTTCATCCAGTATGCATAATTCAAAGCTATCCTGTCCACACAACGCTAGGACTTTTTTTTCTTTTTAAAAGGCCAAATCTAGCAAGTAAAACAGAAGAGACAAGTTACTTTGGCTGCAAATAATTAAAAAATCTGGCTCAACATTCTGCTTGTACATTGTGGTGGATAATTTAGAGACGTCCTTTAAAAGAAAAGACACCCCAGTCAGCTACCTCTTCCGTAGTTACTAGGAACAACGATACCCTTGGCTAGCAAAATGAGGAGAGCGAGATCTGCGTTTCCATCCGCTTGTCGCAAAGCCTCAAGAGCTTCCTGCGTGGTAAAACCAGCGCCGAGGATCCGATCGAGGTCAGCCGCAGGGAAAGCAGGTGGAGAAGCACCCGAGGCAAGTCCGGTGTAGGCAGCTGGTGGTTCCTCACAGCCACCCAACAGCCACGGACCCTGAGGAGCAGAAGTGCTGCTTCTCCCAGGTGCTCCTGCGAGCAGGCTCCGAGTATCTTGAGATGTACCTTCATCCAGAGCAGGTGGAGAGGAAACGGATGCATTTTGCTCCAAAGCTGGACTAGTTGGGCTCTGATAACCTTCTGCCAAAACCTGCTCAGAGCTCTGGTGCTGGTCAGATGTTGCTGCAGAATTCAATACGACAAAATCACTCTTACCCGAAAACTTCTGAATTTCTAAAGCACCTTCTCCGAGAGCAGACTGCACGTGACTGATAGACCCAGTGCTGATGCTTTCTACGCCCGAATGACAAAGTTGTTTCCCCTCTGCTCTTCCACCTTCAGACCTCACCTCGCAGAAGGAACAACTCCGTTCCTGGCTGGCTGGATCTGAGCCTTTCTGCTCATCTTCAGAAAGCCTCTTCTGGTGCGCCGCTGGATCTTTGCAAACCATTTCCAGCTGAGAGACTTCTTCAGATGCAGAGATTTTACATTCTCCTTTCCGACTGATAATCAAGAGTTTGTGAAGCTCTTTCAAGGCTGATGCTAGAGATGGACATGGCTCTTCTGAAGGTCTTCCTGGATCCGTGTCCAGCTGGTGGATGCTGGAGGGGGAAGAGCTGTCTTCAGCTGCCAAATTAGACAACTCATTATTTGCAGGAATTTCACTAATGCTTTTAGACTGCAGGACATCACCAGTGGAAAGCAGATCACTCAAGGAGGATGCAGACTTCAGGGACTCCACCTCCATAGAAAAAGCATCCGCATTCAGGTCAGATACGCTTTTATTCTCTGCCTGCTGCTTCTGCTTGCTTGCTGAGCTGCATGCTTCAGCTACAGACTGCTCAACAACATCTACTTCCATGAAGGTTTCCGTATGCGTACAGCTACAGGAGGCTGACGTTTGGATACTCCCTTTCGCACAGGAAAGACCTGCTTTCTCTAGTCCATCTCCTCTCGTTTCCACAGGAGGATTTGCTGGCTGGCTGGCTTCTTCCACAGCAGGTTCCTCAACCCCTCCAACATGGCAAGGAGGTTCCGGGTCAGTTGTCTCAGTTTGCTTCTCCAGATGTTCCTTCTCTGGTTCTTTGCACGTCTGATGGTCTATGGGAAGCTCATGTTCTTGCTCTTGTTCTGAAGACAGACAGATATCTTTATTTTGCCCGTGCTTAGCAGCAGCGTCAGCCAAACTATTTTCTTTTGTCACTTCCAAAGGATGTTCCTGACCACGGTCTTGTTCGTTAGTGTTACATTCCTTTAGACTGTCAGCAAGAAATGTTTCTGTGAGTGTGTCCTGGGAAAGGCAAGCTGGCTTGCAACAGGTTACCTCCCCCGTCTGGGGAGAAGGGTCATTATTTGCCACGGAAGCATTGTTGGAAAGATGCTGTAGAGGATGTTCTTCTTCTGGGGTTACCTGGCATTCGGTTGAAGACTCAAAGGACTTGACAGCTCTAGGATCAATGGGCTCTGCGAGGCTAGATTTGGATGAGCAAACGGAAGCAGGGGCAGAGACAGAATGATCAAGTAATTGATTTGTGGGATTACAGATCTTGGAATTTAGTCCTGAAGACTGGACTGGATTTTGAAACCCATCAGAAGCTGGTAATGAGGGCATTTCCAGTGAGGTAGTTTCTTTGTCACTATTCTCTAACAGAACACAGAAAGAAAAAAGCAGTTAGGACACACGAGAGCCACTATTTTCACTGTAGTAGTGAAAAACTTGTATAAACCAGAGGCTGTAAATACCTGGTCTGTGGCCCACTCCAGCTGCAGTAAACACACACTACATGCATCAAGGCTTCTGACGTTCTGTTTGGATTAGGAAACAAACACACCAAACTCGTGTTAGCATTCAGAGCACACCACATGCATGGTTACAGTCCTGCGACCTCACGGCTCTCCTCCCCACTGTTCATCACGACAGCGTGTGAGCAGCAGGAGCTCCTCACCTTCGCTACCTTCCTGAAAGAGCTCTGCCTGGGAAATTTGTTACGTCAAGGCAAAAAAAACCCCTCAAAACTCTGCTGGAGAACAATTTACAGGCTGTTCTGTACTGTCTACGCTGCAGAGTGGCCGTGCGTGATACTAGATAAAATCTACGCAGCACAAGACATGCGTCCAGCGCCGTACTGGTTTGTTTTCCTTACGGCTGGAGACATTCAGGAGCCAGGTTTCAGGGAAATGAGAACTGAGATGGCAACACAGTTCTCAGACTGTGCTCCCAGCAGCTGTTGCTAGGAGCCATCAAGAGAAACAGCACGAACACCAGCTTGCTACAAGCAAGCATAAAGAAAAGGGGGTGAAAGACAGAAATCCCGCAAATAAACTGCTGCCCAAGGCTGGAAAGAGCAAAGCAAAGGAAGGGACGGCTAGAAGTCAAACTCAGTTCACTGCTTCCTCCCCCACACAGAGAATGGCTGAACTGCAGATCAATATCAGCAGCACCAAACCCTGGGTCTCGTTATCAGGACAGATTAAATAAGTGAACTTATCTTGCTAAAAGTCTAATCTTGCTAACGTATCAGCTCTCATGCTCCTGTTGAATCTCTGCAGTGACCGTTGCTGTAAGAGCGCCTGTTCTTCCGTTAAAGCCCTGCTCTGTCCAGTGTCACATATCCAAACGATAATCCAGATTTTGTGCTGCATGATTTGTTACGTTAGTTCCCTTTCCCTTCCCAGAGGCCTCCAAACTTAGTGGTTTTAAACACACACCACTGGTTTACACTAAGTCTTTCTCTTTTTACAGATGCCCAGGTGTACTGGGGGCCAGCCAACCATGCTCACCCATACAGCCAGGATTTCTTTGAAGTTCCTCACCATGGAAGAAATCTGCCTTTTCCACCTCAGCTACTGGTTTCTTTTATTTTTCATTAAATAAAAACGGTGCACAACATGCTGTGATACTGCACCTCTGACCAATACACTTCGGTAGAAAATACAGCAGCGCCTGCACAGAGCACTGACTCCCTTCTGTTGGCTGCACCTCTGGTCTTAATGCCACTACAACAACTCGGCAACTCTGGGGTATTAAAAGCCAGAATTATCCTGCAGATTTTCAGGCTGCTCATCTTTCCTAAGGGTGGCAAAGAGGCTTGTGACACATGGTACAGATGAAAACTGGAGGGATCTCTGTTTCTACGTGGTAGGTTTGCGTTCACGCCCTCTGTTGCCATCCCAGTCCTTTAGAGAGGAAGCAGAACTGTCTTCTGACTCAGTGGACTGGTAAAAAAGGTCTGATCAGTCAAACACAACAGGGATTTGCAGCCATTTAGGCAGCAGCAGAAGCTGGTATTCTGCCAACCACTCCTCAGCGTCATCCTTCCGAGACCCATCGTCATCCTCCTGCTGGGGTATCTCCAGGAGCTGAATCCCAGCCCCATCAAGGACATCGATCCAGCTAACGCAAGGAACAAGCCCTTCTCCACAAAGCGCACCATCAGGGATTAATTCCTCTCTATATTAGGAAAAGCCCGAGGTGTGTATGCGGTGGCAGCGCCTTTCTTCTGCAGAGGCTGCCTGGATGAAAAGCTGTAGGGGGGTAAGCTGCCTGAATACACTTCCTCCTAAAGCAACTGCAGTTTTCCTGCCAGTTTCGGAAATCCTCCATAACCACCAAGATTCCCAGCGGCGGTGGGGAAAACACCGCAGATGGACAGAAAAGAGCAAGCTCTCAGACATAAACAAAGCAGACGTGGAGGATCCAGATCCCAGTAAAACAGCCCAGGACTCACTACCACCTCAGCTGCCTTTCCCTAGGAGTTGAAAACACCAACAAGCCAGCTGAGAGAAACCATGAGGCTCCCTAAAGTGAGCTTCGGGGGGGTTAAATAAAGCTCAAGAATAATCCAGGTGCATTCCAAAATGAGAACTTGAATAACCTACAGATGTACGCAGCAATTTCTGCGGTACCATCTACCAGAAGGCAGCGACAAGAACACAGGACACGGGGGGAGCTGAGCTTCCCTCGTCCAACATCATGTCCTCTCCCTCTGCAGTTTCCTGTCCTTTCCCTTGGCTTTCCTGGTACCACATACCAGCCTCTAACAGTTTGGGAAGAGAGGAGGATATACGTTAATATTCTGACACTTTAGGATATGGCCAAACACCCGTGGGCCAGAGGCTTTAATACGTCTGAGACTTGCACACCGTCCGTCTAACCCAGACCCACCTCGCTCTGTGCGCTGGTGTTCTACAGGCACTAAGGCAGTACAGCAAACAGACTCCTGTTCTCATAAATCTTTGATGTTCCCCTGGGGCTCAGCATGGATGGAGAATGGTCAACTGCTGCTGAGTCTGAACAAAGCCACATGGTCTGTAGAACTGGACTGGTACAAACGCAGCTTTGATTCAAGTCATTTTAGGCACTTTTCATTTTAAAACACTTGACTAAAATGCTTTTATTGTAAAGACTCACCTACTTTGGGCCCAGACATTTGCTTTTATTCGACCCTTTCAGCAGAGAACCAAGTCCAACCAACTCTGATGGCTGCGAAATCTCATCCAAAATGGAGAGAGATTGCAAAAACCAACCCAGGCTTCATCAGGCTCCAAATCTGAACAGGAAAAGAACTAATATTTACCTCTGCACATTTTCTCTGCCAGGTTACGGGAAGAGACACGAGCCCAACTACCGAGTCCGACCTTTAGCTACACCAAAACCTCACGGGGGCAAGGTCAAATCTGGGTTTGTGTTTCTCTCTACTTGCTGCAAATTCAAATTTGGCTTTAAAAGTCAAACATGCAAACCATTTCTTGCTGATTCATTAAAGCCAGGCCTTCCTCTCGAGGTTTTTACATCTCTGGAAAACTTGTAGTCTTAAAATGGAAGAAAATTGGTCAAATAAGTGCAGTCCTGTGCTCCCCTTAGTGTAAGCAACTTCGTTATTTGCAAAAAAGTCACTGCTTAATCTTTGGACTATCAAGCAGCAATTGGGAAGTGTTAATGAAAAATTTCAGTGCATCACAACTGGTTTTATATATATATATATATATATATGGTTAAATCTGGTTATCACACTTCAATTTTAAATATGGGCATGCTAGAGTCTTAAAAAAATTAGCAATAAAAATGCTGAAGAAATCAACTTTATCAGCTTAAACATGACCCGGCAAAGAGTTCTGCACGTGTCAGGGAAACAGAATCTTCCTGCGTGCTTTCAGAGGAAAACTGAGCAGTAAACCCCAAATGTCTCTATAAAACACTGGCATATAAAATGTTATATTTAAAAGTTTTGGGAAAGGCCTAAAGAATACGCTTTGGGAGGTATTCAAAGCTTCACTGTAATAGCAAGGAAAAAAAATAATGAACTTTCCTTTAGTCAAAAGCTGAAGTTAAGGGAGGAGTGAAACAGAAAATCTGGGTTTCAGACAGTTTCGTAGCTCAGCTTTCAGCTATTTTGGCATCTCCACGAAATTTTGGAGTTACCAAAATCTTCCGTAGCCCCGTCAGTCTGCATGTGTGCAGCTCAGGGATTCCAGAGGCACAGGGAACAACACTCTGGGGAGGGTGAAAATGCTCTTTGCAGGTCACGTTGAAGGCTGATGATATACTCTAGGACGTAAATTCAGCTGCTTCTTTTGAAATTTAGAGCAACAATAATCCTCAGTAACAGAAGCGATTCCCCTTCCAAGGGCACAAGCACCATTCAATGGAAAAAATGCCGAAATAGTGCTATTTCAAAAAATTGTCATGAACTTTTGTCCAGAGATTTGTACTTACTGCTGCAGCTCCTCTATTTTTACAAGCTGCAGCTATGAAGAACAAGCTTTGTGGAAGTCTCCACAATGCTGTCCACGTGTGAGGCTGCTGAAATCCCACACAACTGAACTGTGTCCCTGAGTGGGCGCTGCAACGCGACCCAGGTGAATGGTGCCAGAGACAACTATCTATCTCCACACCTTCAATGGCCAAGAAACCACAGCAGGTGGGACGTTGCAAGGACAGCACAAATTAAACAGCAAGCACCCCTGAATGCCTTCACGCAGATTTTGCTGTACAGAAAGGAAGAGAGAAGTGCAGTTAGAGGCTACAAGCAAGACTAAAACCCCTTTCTCTCCACCATTTCCTCGCTCATGCTGCATTAGGCTGCATCTCCTAGGAGCTGAGAAGGGGGGACGGCCAACAGACATCCTTGATGCACAGCGAGAAAACTACACAGATTAATATTTCAACCGGGCTCCTCCTGGTACCTGCTTCTTCTACAGACTTCTGTATTGCTTCTGCTAGTTCCTGGTCTGCAATCTCCTCTGGCCGCACGTCCTCCCGCCCGGCGCCGTAAGCCAGACGGGCACACTCGGGGAGCTCGCCCTCCGGGAGGAAAGTGGTCTGCGAGCCAGTCGTGCCAATCACGAGTACATTCTTCTTGAGATCAATCGAACACTGCGAAAGAGCATCGAGACATCAGGGGCCTGCATAAGAGCCAGTCAATTCCCAGAAAAAAAAAGGGGAAATAACGTTAAATAATCCATTTCTAGTGGGAACAACTCATAGCAACTACACAAAGTGGGTCAAGGGCAAAGCTATGAGCAAGTTTGACTTGATTTGCAATAAATCATTCCATTGGAAAGCTCTGAGCATCTTTAGAGCAAAAAACCTTCAGGGAGCAGCCAGACACCCTACAGCTATCCGTGATGTATGTGGTGTATGTACTTCTGTCATAGCTGTCTGGAAGATAATCCACCATCAACTCTCCCCAGGAAAATCCTAATAAATTCACAGGCACAGTGTTCATGTTGCACTTAGCACTTAACTTGGAAGAGCCAGTAACTGTTTCAAAAGAGGTTTTGATACCTGATGCCTCTTGAGCATATCCAGCCCTAGAAGCATGTCCATGGGCTGCTCCTCAAGGATGGAGAAGGAGCATGCCAGGAAATCCCCTTCGATCTGGACCTGAGCTGAAACGCAAGGGAGAGGAGTTACCACCTCGCAACAGGACAGCACAACAAATCTACCTGCTGCTCTTCCAGCTCCTGGGAAAGGTCTGCACAAACCTGCTGGACAAAGCTGACACCAGAGCTCTGACCTACTGTTTTGGTCACAGAAAATCAAGCTCCGTGCAAGCCCCAGGGACCATCAGGCCTGCCGTGATCTCAAGAAGTTAATTATTTTAAAAGCTGACCTGCTGTACAGCCCTAAGTACAGCTTATCAAACCCTCCGAGCTGGAGTCACTGCGTACGGCTCGCTAGAGCACAAACCTAAAGAGCAACAACAGTGCAGAGAATTGATTTTTCTGACAATAAGGACAATCTTCTCTCATCCAGAAAACCTGCACAAGAGCACAGCCAGCCTTCTCTTCCCAAAGGAACAGGGAACGCTCCACTGGACTGGAACCCCTCCTGAGCACCTCCTACTGCTCAGCAGTCCCCCCAAACAGGACACATTGTGCTATTTCACATTAGCCCCGTTTTTGGCAGCCAGAGTCAACACATCCTCTGAGCTGAGGACTCCCTCACCTAAAAGTGTTACGGTAACTCCATTAGAAAAGCATTAAACACGACAGGAGCCAGAGTACCGTGCCCGAGACAAATGAACGTATTGCCGACGCACTTTTATTTTACTCGGTGGGAGTTTCTAACAATTATAGCATCAAACGAGACACTCCTGGGTGCCAAGATTGTGGGAAAAGCAGACTGCTGCTAAAGCTGCCCAAAGAACTGCACCACCACTTACCTAAGTGCACTCTACCAATTATTTTCTGCGTCCCGACACCTTTAGCGATGCCAGCCCATCGCCGATCTACCAGCCTCATGATGTTGCACCTTTCAGCACAAGCTTGGCTCATGATGGTCATCTGGGCACCTACCAGCAAGAGAATTTGTATTAAATCCCCGACAGCTCATCACAAATTAAAAATCTCTCCTGGAAGGGCTTAAGATCTTGTACTCAGCAGCCAGGAAACCACATTGCATCAGCAACTGCATTAGGGCAAAAAGGCTTCCTTGGAATTGATCGTTTATACCCAGCTCAGTGCCAACAGTGAAGAACGTATTACTGCAGAGCTGGAAAACCCCAAGTGCCTTCCCTTTAAGGCTGTGGATGGGAAGCACAGCATTAAAGGCGAGCAAAATCCCTCCATCTGTAAAATGAGATAAGACACACGTGGCGGTGACCTTGCTGGCAACGCAGCCATCAGACCCAGAAATTCTCCCGGGAGCCTTGATCTGCGGTGTTCAAGCGCTCGCGTACGCCACTTCTCTCAACAATTTGCTCTGTTTGCCTCAAACAATGCCTGGGTGGCTCTCAGGTTTTAATCAGGTGCTTCAAAACCTTGTAATGCGGTGTTTTATTATGGAAAGTGAGTATTTTGGGCAAAACTTCTGGAGTATTTGCTGTCTCCCTCAGCAAGGAAAAGGAGAGTGCAGAGAAAGATGGAAATGATGGGAATTCACCTGAGTCAACAAAGGCTTTCACTGGATGTCCGTTGACTTTGCAGTTAATATACAGCATCACCACCTGGCCAAAACTCTCGGGGGCCTCTTCCATCGCTATCGTCATGTTTTCTTCAATGTTTTGTTGCCTGAATTTAACGGAGAAGAGAGAGAGAGAAAAATCAGACCTTCATCAGCCGAACATTATAAGCATCCCCCCGATGTACAAACAGACCTGGTAATCCCACCTGCTGCAGCTCACCTTACAAACAGTGTGTTTAAAGCACAGCAAAGACTGCTTCGTTAGCTAAACGTAGCTGCCTTCGCTGGAGATTGCTGGTAATGATCTCTGGATTAATCCAGAGACACCGAGTCACTCCCCAGCAGCCAGACTCCTCCTTCCAACCCCTTGCCTAGCTCACACTGCAGCACCAGACAACCTGACGGAAACCTGGCACCACAGAGTTAACCTGGAGAACTTGTGAGTGGAAAACCTCCGTATTTGTTTGTCACTCTAAAATAAAGCGCTGAGGGCACACGATGATGCTGCTGCCGGTAGCTACAACACTGGAACCCCACACTGCAGCTGAACGTTAAAATCCTCCGACGTTTCCCTGGCAGCTTTCCGTCTCCAGGCATAGGAAGGGAGGGAGGGGAGCAAAACCGCAGAGAGAACACCACCCTGAGCACAAGCCCGTGGTGCAAATTCAACCCTACAGCAGCAACACTCTTCCAGAAGCCCATCAGGAATCTTGGAAGTGATGGGTATCCGTAGTGACTGCATCTGAAATAGCTTTATCTACCAATTTTGATGCCATTTCACTTCGCCTCATCAGTAGGGGAAGAGGAAAAACCCCCAAGCTCTTCTCTTACCCATCTTCTAACCCAGGCTTTGAGCAACCTGGGCTAGTGGGAGGTGTCCCTGCCCATGGCAGCGGGTGGAACTTGATGATCTTTAAGGTCCCTTCCCACCCAAACCCTTCTGTGATTCTAAGACAGGCAGACGTGGTTTCTTGGTGGGGGAGGAAAACAGCTAAAAGCACCCGGAACCTGACTCACTTGGGAGAAGAAGCACGCCACCGCCAGGCTGTCCTGCTTCACATACTCATGAAACAAAGAGCCACGCCTTTTTCTGCCCTTACTTAAGCTTAAATCAGATATACAGTGGTCAATCTTCCGTTTGCTTTCTTGTCAAATCCATTATTCTGTTTTCTCTGTGCCTGACACTTTCTCCACCTAAGACGTGTCTCAAAAAAATAAGATGTTTGTGGTAGGTCCCAATCAATCTTGGGCAGAGTGCATCGAATTAAGCAAGGAGTTCAGAGAAACTAAGTGGGGTGGGAAATCTGGGGACTTCTAGATGCCCAAACTGTTCCCTAACAGCTGCACAGCCTTGGGCACATCACCTTGATCTGTCACCTCGTCTAAGGAGGAAGGAAAACGTTCCTATGCCTCTGAGCAATGTTTTGCTATCTACAAATGTGTATTTTTCTGCGTGGCTGAGTGCTTATCCAGCAGCAACACCTTGTCAGTCATAACGCAAGAATGACTCTTACCGCAAATGAATTCTGGTTATGACCAACTATGAGCCTGTATTGGAAAGATATTTCTTTATCAGGGTAAAAAACCCGCACCAGTCTTGTTCCGACTCAAAGATTTATCACCCAATTTAAGAAATCAAGCCTCAGCCCAATGCAATTACATTTGGAAGACAGCAAGACGGAGCGAGCACGGATGAGCGGAACATATTTCCACAGAACATCTCTGCCGACAGCAGTGATGTTCGGAGTCTGGAATTAGCCAGAGAGACACAACAATTAGCAGTACGGGAAACCAGATCTCAAAAGGCAGCTGGGAGAAATGACGCCACGTTGCTGTGCAGAGAGATCAGCTTAGAGACCAACACAGCCCAGCTCCCGCGTTCAAAACACGCCTGAGTGCCACCTCCCCACGGGATCTCGGCTAAGTGCTTTCCGCAAGTGCTCTTGGTTCAGAGTGGACCAGCTCAGACAGCTCTGGGACATCACGTGCACGGACAGCGGCGTTGCCACCTCCTGAGCTGTGCTCAGCTGGATACGACTAAAGGATGGGGTGTCCCTGCGTGTCCCCAAATCCCAACTTTCCCATGTGCAAAGGTGGCTCAGAGCATCACCCCGGGAGGAAATCCATGTCTTAAGGCAGGATCTAAACACGCTCCTGGTATCCTCCAAGGAAAAAGCACCATGGGTGAAAGCATCCTGCGGAAAAAGGCGCCGTGAAAACCTCCAAAACCCGAAAGCAGCTTTGGTTTGCTACCTTATGTCTTCTTCGATCTTGGCCTGCGCCTCGAGATCAAACGGGTCAGCGGAATAGAGTCGGATCCTCTCCTGCTCCCGCCGGGCTCGGTCCTGCTGCTGCTCCAGCAACACCCTGGTGAATTTCTCTGCAGTAAGGAGGAGATACAGAAATGCTTTTTACTGGAAATCACTCTTACAAATCAAGTTCTGGCACAGCAAACTCTTCTGTTTCTGCCAGCATGCACTCAAGGGTAGGCTCAGCGGCTCAGGCACAAAAGGCTTCCTCGGAAGGCAGCACGGATGGACCTCAAAGGAGCGGCGGCAAACCTGGGAACCTGCTGAGATGAAAAGCAACTGGACAGAGCTCTTTCTCCGTGTGTCTGCTACGCAAACTCACCTGAATCAAACTCAGTTTCTTCGCATGTACATTTTTATATGGGAGAAAAATGGAAAAACCATGAAGGCAACAATATTTAAAACAAAGAGCTGCCGCTAAACCAGGAATTGCCCACACAATACTCCAAAAAAACAGCTGCAAAACCAGGAGATAAATGAGACCTGAAGCAGAAATCAGGACCACAGAACTTGCCCAGTTCAACCGAGGAGCTCGAGCACATGTGTATTTTGAAAAAGCTTCAGAGGTAGAAGCGAGATTTCACAGCTCTCAGCAAGACGGCGGATCTACAGGATCAGCTTGAAAAATCCATCACATTTTACACTCGGCAATCCCTGGTAAAATAACAGCCTGCAGATCCAGCAAAGAGCAAACACAAAAGTGTAAGACCTAAAAAGGCTGAAACAAATCTTACTTTAAACCTGAGTAACAAAGGCAAAGACAGAGACATTATAATCCCTACAGCTGACCTCCTGCCCCTGAAATCAAGAGGTCCTAGGTGGGACACCCGCATCACAAAGTCCAGCCGCACGTTTTAAGCCTACAGTTCTCAGATCTCCGCTTTTTGGATGGCCTCTGGCTATTTTTCAGTCCTTGGATGTGATCGTGTGTGTTCCCAAAAGGACTTGTCAACAAATGAAGTTCTGCAAACACAGAAGGTTGTGGGTTTGCTTCCAGAATCGCGGCTCCCACAAAGCAGCTCTCTGGCTGTTACATGTTCAGGAAGGCTCTGGGTATGTTTTCCTGGTTTGTTTTTTTTGTTTGTTTTTAAATGAGGCTTCTGTATAGCAGGTGCCGTCTAAAGTGCTTGCAGTGCATCCAGCAGAGTCACACGGCACATACCTCTGCGTCTGCTCGGGCAGCAGAGCCAGAGCTGAGCTGGATCCGTGCCCAACTCCTGACAGCAGCACCACAGACCGACGAGAGCACGACCAGAACAAACCCCACTTCCCTCCGACAGCCCACTGCGGTGATTCGGGACTGAAAATGCACATCTGAATCACAGCTTAACGCGCACAACAAGACATGACAGGTCAGCAGATGAGCCAGTTCTTGGGCTTAACCTCATTTTCCGTGCCAACAGCAGCATGTCTCCTCAAGGTGACGGGAAAAACACCTGCACTATGGACACAGCGCTCGCAAGAAGCGTGGAGAAGCTTGAGAGCACAGAGGACATGGTTCTAACTCTGGATATGAGGTAGAATCAGAATTTTAAAATTAAAAAGACCCACAATATCCACGCAAATTCCTTTCTAGCTTCCTTTGACCGAGAGAAATCACTGGGATGTAACCTTGGAAGGGGAAAAAATAGTCTCCTGCTAGAAGCTCTTGATTCATTTCCCCAAAGTCAACAGGATTTATCTCCTAACTACACATCTTGCAGAGGTTTAGAAGCACACCCTCTGACGCAAAAAACACGCCTCTGTTTTCATTCTGAAAGGACACCAGAGTTCAGAGCTTTCGTCACAGGAAGAACGAGGGACCAACACCAGCGACTCGCCTGCAGAAGAGGTGAAGGACACGGTACTGGGCATCAACTGTGCCCTGACTACGTAAACACTCAAAATGAACAGAGAGTTAAACATTGACGACTATTCCCATCGGAAAAGCTCCGTAAAGACACCATTTACTTGGTCCTTTTCCTCTCCCTTCCAACATCCACGTCCACAGCAGCCACCCATTAGGGACAGGGTTGGATTCACTGCTCTCTGCTGAGGTCTCAGCGGGCTCTGGGATGCAGCGAACGCAACACCATTGCCAAAAAACATGCATTTGGAGAGTCTGGGCATAAAAATCAGGAGCTGAGCCACTTGTTTATACAGAAATTCAGCTTATCTGTGCACCTGAGAGTTCAAAGTAGGACACAGAGGATATTAATAAAGCCAAGCAGAAGAAATACGCCAAACTTGCCAGAAACGGTCTTGTTAGAAAGAGAGGAACTCTGCCTTCCGTCCTCCCACCTGGCACCTTTTAGCAGCACCACCAACGAGCTGGCAGTGAACGTCCCAGCCTGTTAAAAACCTGTGGCTGCTTTTTATTAGAACGGAGCTCAGATTTAAAACCACCTCCCACAGCTTAAAAACCCGACTTACCCAGGTCTCCGCTGAGCAAAGCTTCTGCCAAGGGCGGGTTGCGCTCCTTCAGCAGGGACAGCTCGTGGGGATTGGCAAGCAGCATCTCCCGGAGCAGCGCCGGATTGTCCAAACCCTGAGGGAAGGACGGTGCATCGGGAGGGGATGGGCGAGGACGCTGTGCTGCTGGCTGATGCTGCTGAGTCGATGTCCCGGGAACTGCGATGCTGCTGAAGTCTATCCTCGGCAGACCTTGAGGGAAAAGAGGTTGGATGTGTTAGTGCTTCATGTCTGCAATTCTGCTGGAAAAAGGCAGTGGAAAAACCACGGGAAGGATGAGCCGCTCTTAATGCTGCGGGATTAGACCGGATCCTGTGAACAGCAATTTGTGTCGGAAGCTCAGCCATGTACACAGGTTACTGGGTTAGGAATGCCAGCGTGGATTTACGTAACTGGTCTCGCCATCGATCTGCCCATTTTTTATCCCCTGAAATGCACTTGCAGAATCGCAGACTGGTTATTTCCACCTTCGTAAATGTGAATGTCACCCAGAGGGATTGTAAAGCTAAACCCAGTGTCTCTAAGGTGCTTCCAAATCTCTCAGATTAAAAAAAAAAAAAAAATTTCTGCAGACCTGCATTGCAGGTACCCGCTGAGGCAGGAGGATGAAGACCACAAGCAGCGCTCCCACGCCCTTCTCAGGCAGCGATACCTCCGTTTCCAGCGGTACTTTATGACAGGGATTTGTTAGGAATGGCTGCAGAAGGTAGGGCAGAGGAGCAGGGCTCTGCTCAGATGTTATCGGAGGGATCTTTCACGCGTGCGCACGATTGCGTAACTGGGTTTGTCGAGGCATGGCTTCTCTGGGTGTTTGTCACGGTACGGATTCAGAGCGCAGATCGCAGCAGCTTTTCAACACGGCTGAGCTGCGCAGACGTGTATTATTGTTACACCACGCGGGAAGCAAACCGGCAGTCACATGAAAATTCACAAAAAGCGCTGCTCTGGACCAGTTACCTTCCTCGCTTTCTCTGTATTCCCCCACAAGAACAGTAAAAAAGTATTCACTTCCTTAGAACAAAAAAGAAAGTTAAATTAGAAGCCTTTTTGCCGATTTTAAGAGCCCCCTGCCTCATCCCTAGCCACCCTCCTTCGGAAGTGTTCTTCCTGGCAAGGTGCTGAAGGAGACTGACAGGAGATGGAGCTGGTGTTTGAGAAATATCGAGATTTCTGGATGCTCGGAGCAAAAGCCCAGCACAAATCCTTTCTCACCTGGGAAACGGATGGAGGGCCGTGGCTCGACAGTCTCCTTCTGTCGCAAAATCACCACGTCGCCGTCCTTCAAGCCATAGGAGGCCAAAGATCTGTTGTTGTCTGTTAAAGGCCGCTCGGCATAGACGATCTGTTCGTGGAGAGAGCGCAATGAAAAACACCAGGCGTGACAAAGCACGCAACACGTCACCTTTTTTTATTTTTATTTTGTTAGGAAGGCGTTCCCGTAAATCCCCCGGCCCCATCTCGAGCTGCAGAAGGGAAGGCGTGCAATTCCACCACGGGCATGGACAGCCTCTGCCACAGCACCTCGACCTCCAGCACAGAGAGAACTCAATGAGTAGAAGGTTGGACAAGGACACGGAGGTGTCTGTACTGAAATCCAGGCAAAGCCAGCATCTCAGAGGAGGGCTGGTCTCTCTTAATCAGATTTTTAGAGGAAAGCAAGCCTCCCACCAGGGCTGTTTGCCACACGTTTCCAAAACCCAACCTCTACGATCCCACAAGTCACGGCTGTCTTCTACGGCGTCATCTCCTCCCGAGCGAGCACCTATCGCCATGGACCGCCAGCACGCACGGAGGCGGCATCGATCAGGGCAGATCCGTGGATGATCCAATATCCATGATCTCCGCCTCGTCCCACAACACGGGTCCCCAGAATAACCAGTTTCACAGGGACCTCAAGGATGAGCTCAGTGATTTCCAGTTTACTTCACCGATGTCACTCTACCCAAAGACTCTGCTCCCAAGACTGCAATCAGCCCACGGTGGGGAATTAATGTTTTTTGACCATAAAACACAAAGTCACATCTTTTTCTATCACGATAATCTGACCTAACAAATTAAACATAAAACCATATTGAGATAAAAATGAATAATCACCATGGGAACATTTCTGTTAACATCAGATCCGTCATACCTACGGCTATCCTAAATTAAAAAGAAAATATCGTGATATATTAAATATAAAATATTAAA